AGCCTCACACTCAGCTTGTTTGTTTGTAACCTTGAATTCAATTCCTGTTGCTTGGGTAATGGTGATTTTTGGTGAGGCTCTTCAGAATTATGCCCACGCCAATCCTTGCTTTCTTGAACCGCCATCAACTAAATTATTTGGTGCTACTGTGGAGTAACTGCTTCCAACCGCCTGTCCTGATCATTGAAATCTACAAGAAATTTAACTAGTTCCTTGCTTTGATGGCCATCATTGACATATAAGTGATTTGGAACTTGCTTAGTTCCATCGACCACTTAAGCAACCTTCTAAACTTATATGACTTGGCTAATACCGCTTTGAGCAGGTGGTCAGTCACTAGAGTCGAGTGGGCCTGGAAGTAGGGTCTTAATCATCTAGCCGAGCTTGCAAGAGCCCACACGAGCTTCTCCATGAAGGGGTACTTTCGCTCCACACCTTTGTGTGTCTTGCTCATATAGTACACTGAACATTGCCTCTTTTATTCTCTAATAAGTACATAACTGATAGAATCCTCCCCTACCCCTAGGTATAGCAACAAATCTTCACCTATTGGCGGTCTTTGGAGCAAAGGTGGCGAGGTGAAGAGAAGTTTCAATTACTGAAAGGCAACCTCGTTATCTTCATCTTAATAGACTTTCTTTGCATTCCTGGAGGCTTTGAAGTAGGGTGAGCACCTCTAGCCCAATCAGGAGATGAAATGGTTGAGCTCGGTGACTCGACTGGTGAGTCATTCTACTTTCTTGATTGTTCTGGGCTATTACATCTCCATGATTACCTTGACCTTGTCAGGATTTACCTTGATCCCCTATGGCATGAAGAGAAACCCTATGAATTTTCTTGACCTTGCCTCGGCAGTATTTTTCAAGAGGTTCAGTCTCATATTGTACTTCTTAGGGGTAGCAAACGTTTCTTTTACATCTTCTATATGCTGGTTGGGCGACTTGCTCTTTACCAAGAGGTCATCCACATACACCTTTATATTCCTATCCTTCTAATCCTTGAAGACTTTGCCCATTATTCTTTTATAGGTTGCTTCTGCATTCTTCAGACTAAAGGACACCATCTTTAGCAATGCATGCATTTTGTTGTGATGAAAGAAGTCTTTTTTTTTTTTTATATTGGTTCAGGGAGTATAGCAGTTGTTTTTCTAATTTTCTATTTAATAGGTCAGGTGTCTCTCCTTACATTGATTTGACGGTTGGCAAACTCTTCACTAATCCCTAGCATCTCCGTGGCCGTCCATGCAAAAACATCCTAGTTGCCCCTAAGGGCTTGGATCAACTTGCTTATGTGTTCCTTGCTGAAGGAAGCATATATTTTGAGGGTCCTACTTGGCTCGCCCTCAATAGTAGGCACTTCTTCCACTTGATCCATGGTCTTTTGGCCCTATCCTCGCTCCATGTCTAGTTGTAGGACCTCTTTAATGGTAGTAGCCACTATCTCTACCATTTTAGGTAGCTGGTGCATGACTGAGTGAGATCCCCTCTCACAGGTGATCTCTTTTCTTTTGGTTTGAAATTGATCACAATGTGGTAAGTAGATACCATGGCCCCAAAACTATTTAGCAGGGGCTTGACAAATATGTCGTCATAAGTGGCGGGGATGATGATGATGATGAAATTAGCTATCGCCGTGTATTGGTGGTCATCTTCTCCCCAATTAATAGGTAGAGCGATTACCCCTTCTTGCTCCCATTGTTCACTCGAAAAGTCGTACAAGAGTCCTGTAAAAGAGGTTTGTTGGGAAGCATGCAAGTTCATTTTATGAAAATAGATTTAAAGATCATATTTATATAATTTTATCTATTTGAATGCTTCCAATATGATAATCCGCGATCAGTGCGATGATGACTATAGCATCGTTATGCAGATTCCCTTATTTGGCTTTTCTTCTTTGTTGAAGGTGATTGGGGCGACGTCTACTATTGGAGCATGTGAGGTATAGACATCGAGTTCACTTCTCCTACCTGTAGTCTCTTCAAATTTGCAGGCGAGTTTGTTCATTAAACACCCAAGATTGTGGGTACTACTCCAATAGTATAAATCGAATGAGCAGACATTAGTGTTCACTCTTCTTTTGGCGGGTGCCTTCTTTGGTCTCTCTCCTGGCTTAGTGAGCATAAATTCTTTCAATTTTCTGGACTTGATCAGCTCTTCTACTAGAATTTATAGATGACGACAGATCTCCGTGTCGTGGCCATGATCCTTGGGGAAAACATAATACCTTGAGGTATTGTGGGCATGGGCAGTAGCTTTTATATGGGTTGGGCACCTAGTGAACTCTTTGTTATGAATGTCCTCAATTAGCTTAGACATTAAGACTCTTAAGGGAGTGTAAGTAGGGTAGGTAGGCGGTTGGCAGGTGACTTCTTTTGGGTACGGTTGAGTAGTGAGAGGAGGCTCTTGCACCGTTAGAACTTGTGGTCCAATGATTCTCAAGGGCATAGGCTGTAAGGGTACCTTCTGGCTCCCATGTGATGACAATCATGTGTGCTCGATCTCTTTGGTCCCTTCTATACCTTAGATGAATTATTTCTACTACTCTTCCTCGTTACTTTTCTCTCCTTGCAGCAACCATGTGGGGGCGAGTGCTCAAGGAGGATTTAGGCTCCCTATTGTACTCCTATGCATTTACATGGGGCTAACTCCAACAGCTCAGTGAGAGTCTTCGGCTGCTGCAAGTCGAGTTCGTACTTGAACAAACCTTCTCTTAGTCCTTGGGTCAAGCGACCTCAACGACAATAGGCTTGAGGTTCTTCACTTCTAGCATCTCTCTTTGTAACCTCACAACGAAGCTCCTTAACAATTCTCCATGCTCATGTCTCATCTTCAGTATAGGTTGAGAGCTCTTCTATGGCTTTTAAGGGTCAGCAAACTGTGGCACAAACATTTTTTTTAACATAGTAAATGAGGTGATCACTCCCACTGACAGGCGAGTGAACCACCTAAGGGCCGACTCTTTAAGTTTCATGAAGAAAGCCGACACTTGAGGGGCGTTATCAATATCTATTAGAGATGTCAGTGACTCAAATGTTGCTATATGATAGATGGGATCAATCTTGCCTCGGTAGGACTCCAAGTGAAGCACTTTAAACTTCATACTTCAGAGGAAGCCTCGCCTTTGGAATTTCCTTGCAAAAGGTTTTGGTGAGCTCGAACTCTCCTCTTTTGACCTATTTAGCCGACGGACTATTTTCTTCGCCGCTCATGATAGTGCGACTGTAGTTTGGGATAGTGTCAAAGTCAGTGCTCTTTTTGAGTGATTACAGTTTTCTGCTAAATCAAAGAATCCTTAAGGGGCGCTATCTGCACTTTAAATTGTAGTCATTCTTGGAGGCTGCCTAGGGCATCCTGAATTGTCTTCATCTGTCACTCCTCTATCACCTACAAGTCACGCTAGGTATTAAATTTGGCATTCTTCATGTTTGCTGAAGATTCATGCTGAGGTTGCTCATTTTGTAGGACTTGTCTTCTTATCAAGGGCATTACTCTATGCTCACCGAAGGATATTGGATCCAAATTTATCCATATGCGATACCTGACCTTACTAGCTAGTCTGCCTGAAGAGCAAATGAACTTGTAAGCAAGAATAGAGAGTGTAAAAGAAGAGTAGATGAAGATTAGAGATCTTAAGCAAGTAGAAAATTTCCTGCTAGTCCAAAAGACATCTTCTAAAAATTTGTCTTGAACATTACTCATCACCCTATATTTATAGGGTTTTAAGGGCTACAACAAGGACAAAATGAAAAAAAAGTTAAAAATACAATGCTACATGGATTACATGCTCAAAGCTACACCATACTATACACGCGTGTCTCTATCTAATGGGTGGGAGAGCTAGGATGGAGAATTCATCTTTGGGCGAATGAAGTAATGTCGAGTGGCATAGAGGGTGAGCACCATGATGATCGGTGTGTTGTGGGCTAGCGTTGGTTGGCCAAGTTCTGTAGTGGCAGATTGGTTGAGAGTTGTAATCTTGGACTATGTCATGGTTCGTTGTAGGGGAATAGGTGAGCATGTATGTTGGTGAGAGAGTGGTATCCTGGGGTGAGATGCTTCTCGTAATTGAGTTTGGGAGAGGGCAGTGGTTGTACAATGAGAGCTGATGACTGAGATAGGGATGAGTGACAAGTGATTTTCCTAATGCACCACCCCTGACTAGCACGGGCGAATGTCCAAAGGTTCTCCTATTGAGGGCAAGTCTCTTCATCAAGACCCGACTACTACTTGTTAAGACATATGTGAAGTCATTTATACATATACACCTTCCTTGCTCGATCTATACGTCAACCCAAGTCGCTGCTAGCCTAGCACTCTCATAATTGATAGGCTCTCTTGCCCTAAACCGACGAAACCCTTCTTTCTCCACCCTTCTCAGACCAAACAACCAACCACTTGCAACTCACCACACCTGCTCCTCTCCCTCAGCCGTTGGCTTGCGTGTAACCATTTCACACCACTCATGGAGACCGAACTTGTCGTCGCTTGCTCAATATTTGGCCAAACCCGCACCTACCTAAGCCCATACCCAACCTCTTCCTCCTCTATCCTCTCTCTCTCTCTTCCTATCTCTCTTTCTCTCTCCCTCTCCCTCTATTTTTCTCATATCCCTCCCCCTCTCTCTCTCTAAAAAACCCTTTCTACTCTCTCTCTCTCTCTCTCTCTCTCTCTCTATATATATATATATATCCTGATCTGCCTTGACATTCATGCATTGAATTAAAATTTGTTCTTCTCAACAGCAGACATAGATTCTGTGATCAGTTATTCCTATGTACAGCAAGCTTCTTGAAGGATTAAATGCTTTTATTAGTTTTTTTTTTCTATTAAGAAAATAGTTGAATAAGAAAAGTCTGTAACTAGATGAATATTTGATTAGCTAAACTAATAAACATCTATCTTTTTTGATATACCATTTTTTTCATTAGTCTGTCAAACTAACCAAAAAGCTTTTGCTATATTCTAAAATTTGATGTTTGTTTATTGGCTCCAATTGTGCAGGTTTCATTGCTATGTATGCTACACTTGCAAGCAGAGATGTGGTAATGCACAATTTATCAATAATTCAAATATTGTCATCCAGTTTTGCACCGTCGTTTGAGATATTTGCATTGTTCGCTGCTGCATTATATGCTGAGGATGTTTTTTTTCGGTATCTTTGTAATGTTCTCTACTGAAACTGACTGATGTAGTTCCAATTTTTTTATTTTGATCTTTTTCAGGACTGTTGCTTGATTCCAGAATCACCCTTTTACTTGGAAGGAAATGGCGGGCTTTTAGAATACATAGAAAAGCGGATTAAAGAAAATGGCCACATTCTTATCGTTGTTGCTGAGGGTGCCGGGCAAGAACTTGTTGCTGAAAGTATGAAACAAGCAGAACATGATGCCTCTGGTAATAAGTTGCTTTATGATGTGGGACTATGGTTATCTCAGAAAATAAAGGTACACTACTACTTCAGATTATTGTTGGAGATGCTAATAGTTATGCTTTTACAGTACATAGAACTTCTCTTTCTCAGTTCGATAGTTCATCTGCTGCATTAGCACGTTATTACAACTGGGCAGTAGGTTTCTTTTAAAATTCAGTTCAACAAATCATCACTCTGAGTTGCTGTTTGGAATTTTTTTGTTTTAACTTAAAATAGTATGGTTGGGATAATTGTTTTACAACTTTACTTTACAAATCACTCACATACTTCTGTTCGGGGCTAACTTTTTTTTTTTTTCCAATTTAATCATATTTTGTTTTAACTTAAAAATAATAAGTTTGATACGGCTTTTTCATAGCTTTATTTTACAAATTATCGTTTTATGCTGCAATGTGTTTAGTACTTTTCAAATATTTATATGGGGTGAGTTTTACGCAACCAGATCCACTATAATATAGTAGCTATAAAAAGTTATTTTTTTTTTTTCTAAAAAAAAAAGTTTTCAATACATACAACATTTTTAAAAATTTTATTTTTTCTCATGGCAATTACCCAACTAATTTTCTCTTAATAAATGCATACCCAAAATGTATACGAGAAATTTGAGACCGAGCTTTCCTTTCTAAATCGAGATCACTCCGACTGATTACTCATTTTTTTCTCAAAAAAAAAAAAAAAAAAAAAAAAAAAAAAAAAAAAAACCCTGTCATTAACGGAGTCTTTATGTTTTTAATGCAGGATCACTTCACAAGAAAACAGAATTTGGTGATAAATCTCAAATATATAGGTATAATTTTCACATCCTCTATGCATGGCACAATCAACATATCCTTAACCTTTCCAATTGATGGCATGCAGATCCCACATATATGATCCGTGCAATCCCTAGCATTGCATCTGACAATGTTTATTGCACACTGCTAGCTCATAGTGCTATCCATGGCGCCATGGCTGGGTATACTGGCTTTACTGTTGGACTTGTCAATGGCAGACATACATATATACCATTCTATGTAAGTATCGTTTTTTTTTCTTACTCTTCAATATTTTTTTTATTTTTCATCCTCATGGTCAGGTGAAAGGATTTTCTCAACATTAGAGAGGGTTTTCTAATACTTTCTTGGTCTTTTTTTTTATATATATTTATGTATTGAGAGCAGATTATTATTACAATCAGATTTATTAGTGAATGTTAACTATAAAAAAAAAATTATTATCCGACCGTTTTTTTAAAGAGGAAAAAACTGTAATACAAATAACAGTTTATTTTACCATAACAGTTCTCCAAGTATTTTTATAAATAATTGCAGGATCATATATATTAATAATAATTAATTTCAAGTTAAAACTTTTATATCAAGTAACCTGTGAAAGATTTTTTTAAAAAAATTTAGGGGAGCAAGAGCTACCTCAGTCCCTCTCAGATTCTGCCACTGTTATTTTATTTAATGACGCAGCTCATCTTGGTTTGTTGGTCAGAAATTTTGGCTATCAATCAGGAGGTCTTGAATTCGAGTCTTACATGTGATGTGTTTGTGAGTTTGTCTTAATTTGCCTACATGTCCCAAAAAAAAGTTATTTTATCTAATGTTGGAATGCCACATGTGTAGCTATTAATCATATGATAGGACATGAAACTTCAGAAATATAAATACTTGACATTTTGTTTGGTTTTCATATAAATTGAAAACAATATTGTGAAAAGGATAATGAAAATTTCTAATTAATTTAATGAAATGGTTTTCAGAGGGTGACAGAATCACGAAACAAGGTTGTGATAACTGACAGAATGTGGGCAAGGCTTCTATCTTCAACCAACCAGCCGAGCTTCCTGTGTTCCAAAGTCGTACAGGAAGCGAAGACTGCTAATGGCACGCCTCTCTTCTAACAGGTGAGCTGAAAGCAGAAAATTATTTTGAACGGCAATACTGCATGTTGTCTCACACGTCCAAGAGCTTTTGTTAAGTTTTTTTTTCTACAATTAAATAATTTGATGTTTAGTTTATGTGTTGGCTAAGAAATGGTTTTTGTACTTAAGCTGCTTGTATCTTCTATCAGTTTTTTATATGTAGCAGTTCAAAAATTAACTTGAAATTGATTAGTTTAGATGACTGAATTTGGCTCAAGTAGATTTCAAGTTTTGCCTTTCCATAGCATTGAAAAGTAGTAATAATACAGGGAAATGAAGAACTCAACGGTAGAAATGGCGGAAAGAGAAGGCACGCTTGCTTGTATCTTCTATCTGCATGTTGTCTCACTAACCTTTCCTAAAGTTGGCAAGGAATAACACAAACGAGAAATTATATATTTTAAAATCAAGGATCTATGCTACCTAGCAAGAATGAAATAATGCAAAATGATCTCATAAAGCTCCAATAAGACCCATCACCAGATCAAATACTATGGTTTATTATGACGATTAATTGTAGTTTATTTTTTATTTTCTTCATGAGATGAGGGGTGATTTATGAATTTTATTAGTCATAAATCTGTCCATAAATCCTCTTCCACCACCTACTTACTAACCTAGCAAATCTGTCAAACACCTCCCCATGAGAAATAAAAAGCTAAAAATCCATCTTACAAAGTTTTGATCGTTGTGGAATACCCAATTAAACTTACAAATGATGAACTCCTTTGGTTCTCAAGTTATGAAATGAAATACAACTCTTAGGAACTGTTGAAAATGATTTTTTTTTTATAGCTGTAAATAAAATTTTCTTATAATTTAACTGATACAAAACAAAACTGTAACATATTATCTATGATTTTGCACGTGACGAATATAATGGATCATTTTAAAAAAAAATTAAATGTTAAATTTTCATTCTGAATGAATTATCAATTTAATTGAGTTCTATAAATGTGAATCATTCATCCTGAAATTACAAAAATCCATATGTTTTGATAGATATCATTTTAGTACCATTTTCCCAACTAGATCATTGTAATCTTCAAGTTATTTTCTGTCAATTTTAAGAAATCCGTTGCATTAATTGATAATATTTGATTGATTTGTGAGAACTCCATTTTTTAAGAATTTCACGTGCAAGATCGAAGGTGTGTATCATAGTTGGCGGCTCGGATGTGCATATGACCAGCTTGGGCTAATAGGTACTAGATAAGACGCCAAATGCTCACTCCATGCACTAAGGCATTAGAACTAGTGGAAAGCTATATCTTAGATGGTGAGCTCAATGCATGTACGTGATCCAACAATCAGACATCTGGTCTTGGGGTTAAGACACATATTTCTTTAATCGCAAAAATAAAAAATAAAAAAATTGTCTTGCCCATAATTAGCAGTTAGCACTAAGGTGCTCAAGTTGGCCACCCAAGTACTTAACATAAAACCAACATTAATTTGGCCTATTCAAAAAGCCAAAATATGGACCCTTCTTAGGGGGAATCTTTATAATAAAAGTTTGGAACTATAAGGGGATGAAAATTAGGATTTTTTTGGATCTTTTTGGGTAAACATTTTCGACAAATTGAGGGCAAAAGGAAGATGATATTTATGAAGGAATAGAGAGAGTGATTGCAAATATAAGTTTTTCTTTCTATACTCTTTAGGTATTCATTCCTATTTGCAATCGTTATGATTTTATTTTTTTTATATGAAACTAAACCTCATTTATTGGGAATAGATGTAGCCAATGTTGATGGACAAAACTTGTTGATGAGGATCCCATACATCAATAGTTGGCTAATGTGAGATGGAAAATAATCTCTTTATAATATTTTTTCAATGAGGATAAAGGTGAAATCTATCCAACCAAACTTGATCATGTGACTACTATAAGATAGACAAGTGAATCATGCACACATATAGGGAATGTAGTCATATATTTAATAGTAGTTTGGTTTAGATGACGAACACCCTCTGTTGCCATAGATTAAAGGATTATCACTATTGAAAGCAAACATTTACACATAAAAATAGAAAATATACTTAAGAATTTCATTTTCATGTTGCCTTATGTTATTGAATCTTCTATTTGATGGATAGCTTGTGTCAAATCAAATTAAGGGCAAAACCCTAGGCTCCACCACCTTCGACAAAGATGAGGATTACCTCTTTGAGTTGTTTGTCAGCATTGGCCTAGATCTTCCTTGTGGGCAGAAAGTGGTGTATGTGAGAAGTCTTTTTTTCATGGATTTCATGGAAAAATGGACCTTTTATGAAAATGGGAACAACTTCAAATCTAATGGCATCATTAGAGACTCCATTATACCTGAAGGTGGCACAAATCTCTACGAAACTAGGAATGTGTAGGTTTGGATCTTCTTCAGGGGATCCCCAAAACTACAAATTTTGTACCATTTGAATGATTGTAGCTTTGAGCTCGAAGTCATTGGCTTGGATGGTCAGTTTACAAATACATTGGTGGATTCCATCAACTAATGAGTTACCATAATCTCTAAGCTGTCTGACTGACTTTTAGTTCTTTTGATGTTCTTTTAGCCATCACATCTATAGTTTATTAAATAAATAAATAATCATTTCTATAAATATAGGCTCTTAGTAATGTATTTAATCTTATAAATTGCATATAATGTAGAGTAGTGAATTTGTCTCTCCTCTTAAAAAAAAAAATACTACATCCACCTATGCTTTGTTATAATAATATTATATTCTATTATCTACCTTATTAATACTAAATCAAATTCCACTTTCGTATTGAATATCAAAATTTTAATCTTGATATCACTTTATGTCACACCCCATGCTAACCCTCTACCATTCAAGGCAGGACAATATAAAGGAAATCATATAATTCATCTTACATTCAAAATTTATTAAGATTTCAACAACATTCATGATGAATTTCACATATTCATTAATGAAGCGGAACCATTCCAAACATTTCATTGATTATATATATATATCTACATAGAAATTATCAACCAAAAAACATCAAATAATAAACATCCTACATACCTTAAATCTACATTTATCTTACAACTATATATAACAAAACATAAAGTATATATCAAACTTTGTTCTTTTTAGCCATAATCTTATCATTGCCCTTCAAGATAAAAATAGTCAGAATAAAAGTTTGATAAGTTATGAGGCTAAAATGAGAGCAATTCTAAAATATAATTCTTGTGTACAACAACATCAACCAATATGTATGTGAATATGACTATACACACCAACATCTATGCCTTCTTCACATATCAAATAATAATATTAATAAGATGTTTATAAAAATCATTTAACATTAATATGCTCACATGAAATCATAATAACATATTTCTTATCACAATGTAACAAGTAGAACCATATAATGTCAGTTGATTTATATATCTAATCATGTATTTAATCACAAATATATATTTTTTACTTATCTTCTCTTTCATAGTTCATGTCACCTCTAGCCCAAAAATATATCATGTCAAGATGTCTAGGTACAAGTCATCATCATAATATAAGCTTTTGCCCTTAATGCTTTATCATAATGTTCAAAAGTGCTCCAGGTGAAACCAGCATTTGCTACCAAACTACAATAAGGTCATATTGCCTCTTGAGGTTGCTATGCCTCCATTGGATTGCATTATCGCACCAGTGCAGGTGTCATCAATATATCATTCCCCACCCATCACCTAACATGATATTTCTTAGGCTTAACATGTTCTTAACACTTCATTTAATTCATCATTACACCTGTTATATGTTGATTTAAACTAAATAAATAATATCATATATGCATAAAAGAAAAACTATACATATCACTTGCTTTTCATTTAAAAGTGTGTTATAATAAAAATTGATTATTCATAAATAAATGCTAAAATGCGAGTATACCTCCAACTATGTGAAGAAATTTTAATATTACATACCACACTTTATTTCAAATGCAATTGCACATACAAAAGACTACGATCAAGTGTCATGAATTAGAAAATTTATATATCTTGTCTTTTCTTCAATTTAGACACCTCACAGCCTTTTGAGTGTGTATATCACCTACAACAATCCAAATTCTTTAATTTGACAACTCATACAATTTCTATCAGAATCATATAATTATAGTTCAATTTATTCCAAAAAAGACTTTTCCCTCATTATTTTCTTTCCTCGGACACCGCTTAAATTTCCAAAATTCCCCTCAAATTCTATGTTAAGCCTAAAATAAAAATTGAATATATTTAAATAAGAAACTTTATATATATATATATAATATTATAATTTTTGAACCTTATACTTTTCCCTTTTTCTGTCTCCTCCTCTCCCTTTTCTTCTTCTTCTTCTCCATTCTCTTCTTCCCTTCCTTTTCCTCTTCCTCTTCCTCTCTTCTTCCCTTCTCCTTCGATTTCTACCTACTCGATTCTTTCCCCCAACCTTATAACCTACTCCCGATTCTAACACCAATCCTTGACTCCAGGAACCTTTAGGCGATTGGAAAAAAAATTAAAACTTAGAGCTTCTATCAGGAATGGACGTGGTTTGACAAGGAAAGGTGATTAAATGGGAAAATTAATAAAAATATTAATTACCCTTAGCCCAAACTAATGCATGTTCACCTAAGTGGAATTCTGAATTTTTTAACCCTACTATAATAATTTTAATAATGAAACAATAGAGAAAAAAATTAGAAAAAAATAATTCAAATCAAAATTATTCATATCCTTCAATTTAGCGCAAATAACGTGTGATGACCTCTCATGTAAATTTAGCGCTCTTCATGCCTTTGAATTTTGTGTCAATACTTCGTGCGAGAGCAAATTTTGACTTTCATTTTGGTATGACCAACCCTTGCAATTGGAGCATTCTTTTTAGGTAATTTCAACATTCTAAACGGATCAACAAAGTTCATTTTTGTGAACAAATAACGCTCAACCAACTTTTGTATGAAGTCAAATCTATAGTCTGTCATTTTCATCATAATTAACTGAATCGATTTTAAGGGTCCTTTTTTGGTGATTTTGATGCTCTTGATGTACCAAAGCAATGTGTTTTGTGAATGGGCCACATTTGAGACCTTTTAATCATGGTCACGACATCTCAAACACATTTCAAATGATATTGCATTCATCGGTCATCGTCTCGCCACATTCACTCGAGCTGGCCTCGAGATGGAGGTCAGTATATCCGGTTAGCCACCCATTCTCATCTCCAATCTAAGGATAGAAACTTTTGGCTTATAGCACATATAATATCCTTAATTAAAGTTCTCCTTTACAGTAAGAGGAAATATAAATAACCTTTGGAGTTTGCACCAATTAGAAAACTTTGATCTCCTAGCTCTTAAATAAACCTAAATCAATTGGAAAGGGAAAACTTTGATTACTCTCGTAAAGAGTAGAAGAGAATCACTAATGAGTGTGTGAGACTTAATGAGCTCACACCATTAACCCTATTTATAGCCTTGACTAGTGGCTATCTAGGAATATAAAAAATGCAATAGATGTTTATGAAAGTAAGTGGTTGTGATTGTCCTCACCTGTTTACTGAAATTTGTATAGTTTTTGACTTCAAGAAAACAATATGGCTAATATTTGTTATTGAAGTTTATCAATAATAAATCAGCCATTGAAAATATGGTTGATGTTCAACAACAATAAAATGTTGTGATTATGTTCGCTTCTTTACAAAGAAGTAAACTTCATCAAAATTCCGATGAGCTTTCATTGTTCAACTGGTTGAGCATGGATTATGCCAGGGATCAACCAATAATACTAATCTTGAACTATAACTTTTTTTTTAAAGGTTCAGGGTGATGTTCCCATCCCTTTATTACTAGAAGCTTTGGCTTCCATGCAATGAATCAATTGAAAAAAGTTCAAGGTGATATGATTCTTAGGTAGCTTCAATTGAAACAAGTAACCTTGCTTAAGAAGAAAGGTTGGAATTCTTTGTTATCTTGAGAAGAAAATCTTTAACAAATGATTTAAAATGAGCTTGAGTGTATGATCACAAGTAAATATAGAATTTTCATATATTTTTTATTTAGTACATCCAAATTAATGAATGTTTGTGGTAATTGAGGGCACCAACATGCTATTCATTGGTCATTAGTTTCTGAGGTGCAAATCCACTTGGCCCTTTGATAGATGGCCGTAGTTACGCATTGCAGCCCTTGCTAGTTGCTCCCCTCCTCATTAAGAAATGCATGAGGAATATGACTTGCCTAGGTCGGTCTGAGCTAGGATAGTCCAGGATAGATTTGATTTGTTATGGTGTGAATATACTTCTTTTACACTCTGGTATGTTTGGGAGTTTCACAAACTTTTTTTGCTCCTTCAGTTTGTTTGGCAGTTAGATGAGCCAATTCATGTCAATTCGTGATGATATATTTGAGAACAAAGTCATCATTCACCATTTAACCACGGTTTAAAAAAAAAAAAAAATAGATTGATTGCATTCAATGGGAATGAAGAAAAATCATTCATACCTTCCTGCCATTGATTATGCATGTTCATAAATTAGTAAAGAGAGATTCGCAAATGATTTCAACTTGTTAGCATTACTCTAAGAGTACTGGAAACATGATACAAAAATTTCCATATTTTGAGCATATGAAAACTAGAAGAAAAAATTTAGTTCTTTGATTAGTATAATAGATCAGACGGGTTCTTCCTTTATGTTTCTTTGATACAAATGGGAACATATTTCTGTGATGTTGCTTCTAGTATTAAGGGCCTAAATATGCATAGTAAACAGTCTTGAAAATTGTAAAAATATTATAAAAAAACTATCAGAAGCAAAAAATTTCACATGGAAGTAGTGGACATTGAACTAGTCGAATTTGATTCATTATTCACCCCTGAAGTTGCTTCATATGAGGCAAAGTACAGGAATGGGTTAGGAGGTGTCATGATCTCCTCTTGCCCTTCTAACATCCTCACCACATTGCTCATCAAAGGCCTTGCCTCGGCTTTAAACTGAACACACCAGAGTGCAACCTTACAAATTCTTTCTTCCTTCTCCATTTGAATCTCTTCAATCCTACAAATGGACTTCATTCTGCTTAGCTGCCCTTTTTCATGCATTTTCCATATCCATTTTGGTAACCACTCTTGGCTTTCATTTGCATTCAATTCTAAGTTCCTCCTCCCCCCTATTATTTCAAACAAAAGCATACCATAGCTATAGACGTCACATTTGTGTGTTACAGGCAATGGCAGCCACATCTCAGGTGCAGCGTAGCCAGGAGTGCCTCTTCTTCCCGTGTTAGTGACATGAGTAGCATCTCTATTGCAAAGCTTTGCAAGTCCAAAATCAGCAACTTTTGGCGAGAAGCTTGAGTCAAGAAGAACATTTTCAGGCTTTATGTCATAGTGCAGTATTCTTTGCTGGCACTCTTCATGAAGATAACGAATTCCCTTTGCTGTTCCAACTGCAGTCTCATACAGTGTTAGCCATTCAAGTCTATGCTTAATGTTGAACAAATATCGGTCGAGTGAGCCTTTTTCCATGTACTCATATACAAGTGCCTTTATTTCAGAATCATAACAGAACCCATATAGCCTGACCAGGTTAATGTGATTAGTTTTTATGATTATGCCTATTTCCGCCATGAATTGCTCCTCAGCTTTCTTATCCAGGATTCTGTGCAGAACCTTCACTGCAATTTGAATGCCATTTGGAAACTGTCCTTTATATGCCACTCCAAATCCACCTGAACCCAATTTCACGGCAAAGTTATTGGTGAATTCTTTGAGATTATGTGGAGTTAATCTTATAGGCTTCTCCTTTTGGATGTCGTGTAGAAACCTCTCCATGGTTACATGTCTAAGGATGTCATTTGTAGTCATTGAAACATAGTTTGTTCTTTCAACAATTTTGCTTGTTGTTTCAGAGGATTCATCGGATATGACACGAGAGGCTCGAAAATACATTTTGATCTTCTGAATACACTTTATCATTAGATATGCAATAACTATTATTACAATGCCACCAACTATGATTGATGCTGCAATGCAAGTATAAAATAAGACGAACACTAATGAGACTTGAAGAATGCATCATTAAGCTGTTATTTCTTTTCAAGCTGATTAAGAAGGGGATGCTGAAAAATATTCTTACTTGTAGAAATAAGTGCATTCCTTCCATTGATGTTATCCTTACTTGATTTTGGAATGTTGTTCGAAGAATTCGACATATCTGTTGTTGACAAAGTAAGAAATTAATTAGTCTAGTTGTAGGATGTTATAATAATACTTGATGAAATTATAAAATTTTTGTACAAATTTTTCTCTCTCTAAGAAACTTGTAAATATCGTTAAAATGAGTGAATATGAAGTAGACCAATTGATAAGAAATTGGGAAAATTGATTTAGTTTTTATTTCATCATTTATTTTGAGAGAGAGGGGGTTGATAGTAAGAGGTAGGGGCTGATCCCCATATGGTTCAGGGTGGGCATGCCTGCCTTAAAAAAAAAATAAAGTTTATATGAGGTAATTTTAGAGTTCTGACCCTGCTAAATTTTTTTCCCTATTGTTGCTTGTCTGCTCGAGTGCTGCTTGCTATTCCCTTCTTCCAAAATTTCCTTTCTTCCTTCTCCTATCCCGCGCAACGTTGTAACTTGTCATTCGTAGATGCTGCACTCTGCATGAAAAAGTTGGCCATACCATGATCGCCCCAGTTGCCGCCCAAATCCATTAGTGTCATGACCTATCCATTCACGGATTGAAGGTAAGGATTGCATTGAGGTTTTAACGCTCGTTTGCGGCTTTGAATCTCATATTTTGCTTCCTCTTTTGCATGCATGTTTTTTAGCATGATTTTTTTTTTTCTTATTTTCCCTTTAGTTACTTAAGCCTTTTTAGAAATCAGTATGAAAGTTGTCCCAGATGAAGCCTTAGTGTTATGGTTTAAAACAAATCTATTCCACACCCCCAACCCCCGACTTGCTTAAACCCCTTAGGTGGGCGTCTCTTTTGAAGAAAAAAGTGAGGAATTTATAGAACTGAAATTTTTATCTTGACAAAAAATTAGGGTCTTGATATAAAGAGAGAGAGTTATGACTAATCAATCAAAATATATGTAACAGTTATCTAAAAATAAATTAGACGGCTCTAAAATGTACTTTGATCAAATTCGGGCAGTTAAAAATATCTGTCACACAAATTTTCGAAGTAGAAAAACTAGCTACTTCCATTCTGATCATTCTTGTTGGCTATTCATTTAGGAAGCAGAGTTCCTTAGAGTAAATGTCTTAAAATTTCACCAAACATGATTCTGCAAGACTATAGATGTAAAATAGTATACTCTTCCTGAATAGATAAAATAAATGATAGGCAGATCAACATGCAATTGAGGGACCGAAAGAGGAAATTGATTTCAATTTACTGAGAAAGATTTCGAAGGTTATCTGATCTTATTACCTGCAATCACTAGCTAATACTCTTCCTTTGACGTGTCTTCAGCCTTGCTCTCACATTCTAGTCTGAATCTTCTGATGAAATGACAAGAAATACTGCATCGCAAGCATTATATTTTAATTAATTTGCTTAATGCATTTGAACTTAGGTTTCATTTGGAACGGCTCTTTTATTGTCTCTTAAAGTAATTTTTTTAGTACAAAAATTAAACCTTTTTACTAGAAAGTCACTGAAAAATTTGAAAAATAATAAGAAAGATTTACCTAGTCAACATAAAAGACTTGTTTAATATATCAATTTTCAAGAAATTCTAGAAAAGCGAGTCTGACTGCAGTTATTCTTTTTTTACCTTCATTCACATATGCAGACTGTTTGATGGTAAGTCTTTAAAGTACAGTGTTTGCAAGGGCACTGAAGTCAAAATTGCCATTGAAGCTGAAGCTTCGTTGCTTTGTTTTCCTGCGCACGGATTTAAGTTTTGAACTAGCTAGATTTCTTCTTCGATTATTCTTCAAATTTTTCAGTTTTTTATTGCTTTTAATATGCTAAATTCTTGCAATTATTTTGATATTAACTGTAGGCTATAATTTTAGACCCTTTTGAAGATGCATATTCTAGAAGCAGATCGACAGGTGTTGGTCGTCAAAAAGATCAATCAAATTTGAGTTTCAACCTTAACCTTTTAATTAAATTTTAGTGCCATTCATTAGCTCCTAAATCACTTATAACTGGCCTTGCTGTTTTCATACTGTAATTGTTCATAGACATATCCATAATCGTAATTATGCCTTATTTTTTAATTAATAAAATATTTAAAATAAATTTATGTTATTTAAATAAAATTAGGCACACTGAGACTATCATATTTAAATTCAAGAAGAAATGTCATATTTAAGGGATATATTTTATTTTCCAACTCTTATTATTATCACTAGACAAATGAACATGTGTCATAATTAAAAAATGAAAATATTATTAAATAATTAGCCTATGGTGTATGTGAATTTATGTTGATGATGATAAATATGTAATTGGATATATTACTATTTTATGTTAGGTGGATTTATTATTGGATGATAATTTCAATTTAGGCATAATATATATTCAAGACAAAATAATGGATGCTCCAATGATTAAGGAATATCTGGACAAGCTCATGAAGCTGTTTATAGTTTTTGTAGAATCATTAGAGAAATTAGATTTGTATTTGCAAAATGAATGGTTCTTTTGGCCCAACTCTCATTGGGAAATCTATTCTAAATTATTTTAAATTAATCTAAAACTATTTTAATGGTCTATGAATTATGTAAATTAGCTGAATAGACATTTAAAAAATTAGGGTTTATGAGAGGATTGATTTAATTCCAAAGGAGAGACTCCCTTTTTTCTGGAAAGAAATTAAAGCAATTGGAGCATGTGAATTTCGGCCAAGAGGAGGTGGAGGATGTTTGAATTGTTTCCAAGGTGGGGAGGTGGGCTTTAGGAAACAATCCAGTAGAATCTCAGAACTAGTAAAAAGGTACCCTCATATTATTTATTACTGACAAATGATGGTGAGCCAGAGTGCTATGATAAGGCCATTTAAGTTGATGATTTAAAGTAGATGTAAGTCTTGGATGACGAAATGCATTCACTTAAGTTGAATCAGACTTGAAAGTTAAGTTAGTTACCAGATGAAAAGAAAGGACTATAGAATAAATGAGTTTACAGACTGAAAAAGGAACTTGATGGTAGAATGCACTATAAGGCGAAACTTTTAGTCAATGGTTTTCTGCAAAACGAAAGAGTAGACTATATTGAAATTTTCTCTCTAGTTATAAAGATGACAATAGTCAATGTTGTGTTGATCCTAGTAACAGTTATAATTTACTTCTAGTAGGGAAATTACAAAAAGGACAAGCACTAAAAGGAATTAAAAATTCATATTATTAAGATAAAATTAAACATGATGATAGGATTAGCGAATAAAAAATTTAATCACCAGCCTAATTTAATAGATAAAGACAAATAATAAATTATATAGCATATAAATAAAACATCAACAACATGGAAAAGAAGCCAAAAAAGAAAAAAATAATTTAATTAAGAATAGACATAATGAAAGATGCATGCCATGCATGCCATATCTCTTTGCTTTTTTATGTTCTTTTGAGTCGTTTTATAGTTAAAAAAAGAAAACAGCTAGCAAAAAATAATATCTTTTTAAATTCAAAACATATACATACAATTTTTTTTTATCTTTCTCTCACAATTTGTTCGCTAGGGACTTTTTGACTAATTCATTTTGCTATAACGCAAAAAAAAAAAAAAAAAAAAAAAAAATTGGATAAGAAAAACCATGAATTTTCCCCTTCTTAAAATTTATTTAAAAAAAAAAAAAAACATAAATAAGAAGCCATCCTAAAAAGAAATTTGTATGTATATGTTCTGAATTTAGGAAGATAATATTTTTTGTTATCTTTTATTTTTAAACTATGAAAATAATCAAAAGAATATAAAAGAAGCAAACTGTTTGTCTCTTCTTAATTAAATTATTTTTTTCCTTTTTAGCTTATTTTTCATGTTGTTGCTGTTTTATTTATATACTAGATAAATTTTTAATTGTATTTATCTCTTAAATTAGGCTGGCTAGGGATTTTGCCATGTCATTGCCGCACGCAAGCCGCAAGCATACCTAGCTAAGAAGAATGCTGCAAAAAAGAAGAAGAAGATATTTTTCATGTGTAATTTCTATAACAAATAGTACATATATGCAGCATGTGTTTTCTGAAAAATATGTACACATGGATATTTTATCTACTTTTCATGATTGATTTTCTTTTATTTTACTTCAATGATAAATTGATTAGAATTTTTGGTTAAAATATTTGAATTATAATAATCTGAGGACTTTTATGCATCTAAAACTCATCTTGAATGATTTTAGATAAAGTAAATCAAATTTATTTAAGAAAATATTCAATTAATGTTTTTATATAAATATATAATATTTTATATGAAATATGCCAATATTTCAATAATATCAATATTTGCTAGACTATTTTCGATAACTACACAAGCCAATGTTTCAATAATATCAATTATGTATTTTAGTTTTATATGAAAATCAAATGCTCATATAAATGAAAGAAGGTTGCTAGTGACAACAACATTTTTTACATGGAAAATCTAAATAGGAAAAAAATTACGTCACAAATTATGATTTTTTCCAATAATTGGAGAATACATTGATATAATGTAGCATTCATGAATTTGGTATGATGAATTTTGTTGTGGAAGTTGGAAGAGCCTCGAGGCATTCAAATTATCTTTAATAGATCATTGTAGTATGTTTAATCATTTCCTTAAGTGTAAAAGTGATAAGAGACCAAGAGATCTAATATAAATCCTATTGTTGGCATCAAGAGTTAAAGTTGGAGTAAGGATTGTGTCAGCTTTATTGAAGATTGTGTATGTCCATTTTGTTAGCAATAGTTGGCAACAAAGTCAACATGCATCAATGTTTGTTTCATTGATTTGCATTGAACTTATAGTGATAGTGTTTATCGATGACAATGGCAATGGCAAGAGATAAAGCCGGTGGGTGTTGACATTTGAGTTGATATCATATATTATCTTTATGAGCGATATCGTGCCTTGACATTATCTAGAAAAGAAAATGATGCATTTAGCTGGAGATGTAGTTGAGCAATGGTAGTTAGGCAACGATGGTTCTCTCTGAACATCATCATCAAAAAAAGATCGGAGCCTCATCTCCATTGGCCCCTACACTCAGTTTACATATATCGTTATTGTGTTATTAGACTTCTACCGTTGTCACACCGCCTAACTATTTTCTATTAGGATGTTAACTATCCTCCTTTATTAGCTTGGATGCCTACTTTATTCAATAAAATGCAACTCGACCATTGCAATCATCAGTCCATCTCTTGGTGGCTTGGTCCTTTGTCTCTCAACCATCATCATTGACCTTTTGACATGGGGGCTTACTTTGATTCAATGTGGATATATACTTAGATTTTCTTTGATATAAAAATTATGAAACCCCACTAAATAAGCAAGCATACCTGTTAATCAATTAATAAAGTGGTAGAGAATAGCGTCGATCCCACATGGAAGTGTTATGCTTAATTGCAATTAAACTACTACTATTCAATCTAAATACATAATTTATCCTATGAAATATCAAATACATAATTTATCCTACAAAAGGGATAAATTGGAAATATCAAATACATAATTTATCCTACAAAAGGGATAAATTGAAAACATTTATGGAAGAAATTAATGCACCACAATGTACAATAGTACTTTCTAAATGTTTACATCAATAGCCAAAAACATAAAGATTTAACTAGACATGGATAACACAAAAAACAAACCCATGTTCAGTTTATTCATAAAAAATATATATATAAGAGAATGAATAAGATAAATATCACTCGAAAGGATAAATTTATATTCCTAACACTTCTTCTTCTTCCAACATAAAATTTATTATACAATATAGATTAAGATCTCCCAAATGAATGTATCTTGTACTTTTCTAGCCTCCCTGTTATAGAGTTTAATCTAATAGTAAAATTATAGGAAGACACTATAAAGTATAAGACTCCACTAAAATGAAAACTCTATTACAAAACAAATGAAAAACTATGTATACAAGAGCATAAATAGACTCAGAAGTTTCTATGCTATATATGGTTGTGCCGCGGTGGTATAAGATGAATTAACACCTTAGCATTATAATTATTGCATGGCTATGGCACTAGGCTGACCTAGAACAGTTACTAGTTGAACTAGTGCATCTTTTGGATGTATCAGTGTGGCTATTTATTCTGATAACTACTTCACTATGGTGCTTGATAGCATAATTTATGCTATGTTGTTTCACTAATCGGTGCTCTCACGCTAATTTTTTCTAAGACTTCAGTGCTGCGGGTCTTATTTCTACTGCAAAAGTGTTGTGAAGCACTGCAATGCTGACCTTGTTTTTATATGGGTGCTAATTTTTCCTTAAATTCTTGAGAGGCTTATGTTGTAATGTTAAAAATAGGCAATGGGGTGTTGTAGATGGCCACACTGTGATGCTATATAGGTGGGCACTATGGCACTCATTCAACACACTTAAATATTATGCTTATGCTGAACATTTCATTCATAAATATAATTAAATTAATATATTTTTATTGAATTTAAATAGAATAAGTTGTATATAATAATTTGAACGTAATAATTTTTTCCAGCTGATACTCTTGCTTATCCTCATGAAATGATAAAATAACCTATTGATTAATTTAATAGCCAAAATAAAAATTGATAATTTAAAATTACTATTATATAAGATAATACAAAGCCTAGAAGTTATTTGTAATAATCAATTTATAATTATAGTTTGAATGGTCATAATAATTACAATCAGTCACACTTCTTATTTCTAGTTTTAAACCTATCTACTATGGGTGTATACAAAACATTGACTTCTAATTTTATAAATGAATAATACATTATTTAGGAATTAGTTGTGATTGTAGTTAAATTGGAAGTTAATTCATGCACAATCATATGTGTTAG